TTATTAATTTATATATATATATATATATATTATATTAAGATTTAAATATATTTTTATTCCCTCAATTGTAAAATTATTGTTTTTAGTTCCTATAATTTTTTAAAAATTTTGTTTTAGTCTCTCAAGTCATCAATAACATATAAAAATGACATATTAAGATAGTAATGTAGTTTCAATTGTATTTGATGTGATGTTTTTACGGATAAAAATATTAATGGATAGATTTTAGACAACAATATTTGATAAATTTCCTGACAAAATTTGAGTATAAAAATTGAAACAAGATTTTTTAAAAATTACAAGGATTAAAAAGACCAATTTTTAATTTGAGGGACTAAAGACAAATTTACCTTAAATTTGATATATTAAAAACATATTTAAGTCTATTATAAATTTTCCCCTCAAAAAAAAGTCTATTATAAATTTATAATAATGTACTCACACTTGTCATGTTAAAAACTAAGTGCTCCCAATCTTTTCTATATTTTTATTTTGTTAAAAAGTCAAAGTTAATATATTAAGTTTTTGAAAAAAATAAATCTTAAAATAAGTGTCATGTTAGTTTTCAATATAATATTAATTATCTTTCTTTTTTTCATTTATACCCTTCATAATATTTTTTACAAAGTGAATATTGTATTGTATTATTTATAATAAAGAAGATTAACTATAAGTTTTTATTTCTAGTTTGTATGAAACAACCTAAAACAATACTTATTATAAGATAAAGGAAGTACTAGTTATAATTAAATCAAATCAGTAAAGGGATTAAGGAGTGCTAATTGATCTAAATTCATATTATATTATTTTTAAAATAAAAAGGGTCAAAATTTTGATACGAGATATAGAAAGAGATATTTTTGAAAGTGTTAAAAATGAGAAAATCATTCAATATTTTTAAAATATGAAATCTCATAGAGAACAATTTAATGTATATTTATATTTCAAAAAAAATGTAAAATTATATATTTAATACTATAAATTTATGTGTTAATACTGCCTCCACTACTTAAAATTTCTGGATCCGTCACTATATATATATATATATATATATATATATATGTATAATATGATGTCAAATTGAGGAATTACAAAAATCATGAAATCCTTCGTAATTTTTCAAATTATTAAATTTGTTTACATCAAAATTGTGTTTGAGACATTTATTTTCAACAGTTGCGTTTTTTTTTTAATTATAATTTTTATTCAATTTTTTTCTTTTAATTTTCATTTAATAGTGTGATACTTTTTGGTGACTCTATTCTCTCTGATAAATACCACACTGCTGAAGGGAAAGAATACATCGGTGTTATACATCTTGCCAGCCTAATTTGTATCCAGAGGTATAATTATTACAAAAAAGATTAATGTTAGTTACAGGTTTTTTTTATTTCATTAGGCAAATAATTGATATTATTTATAATATTGTATATAATTATTTATATTTAATTTTTGACCAGCCTTTAATTTGCAAATATTTCAAAAATACTGTCCAAAATTAAAGAAAAGAGTTTTTATTTTCAAAATTGTATGGTACACATGCAAAAGTTTTCTATGCTTCTATTTTATAGACATAAACAGCTACAGATTTATACACTTAGAATAATATTTTTTACACGCTATTTTTATATACCGTTTCTACCACCTTGTTTAGAAAAAGTACTACACAATAAAATAAAATAATATATATATATATATTATGATTAAACAAAAGTACAAGACAATATTTTTAATTTTATGATCCCTACGTGACAATGATTTCCACTCTTTTGGTGTTTAAACAAGTGTCGTGCCGTTTCAAACTGGGCTAAACATTACTTTCTTTCAGATTACAATTCTTTTTGCAACACAAATACGCAATGGATCGCCTCAAGATAGCTCTACAAACATAACTTGGTATAAACCAATGACATACATGAAGTGCAGCGATTGCATAACATTTTGGTGAATTTTCCTTCTTTCTTTGTTTCTATCTGTAAAGCAACAGTGGATAGTTATCTAAAAGAACCACCCAACAGCTGTCGCACGTGGCGTGCAACAACCTCTTCTTACGTGCATGCATGGATATAGTACTGCAAATACTTTGTCTATAAATAGATGATACTCAGGGAATTTGCTCTAAACCATAATTAAGTTTCCTTGTTGATGTTTTAGGTGATCAACCTCTCCCAACGAAATGGCATATTTGGAGGAAATACGTGAGAAACAAAGAGCTCGTGGCCCAGCCACCATCTTAGCCATTGGCACTGCAACTCCAGCCAACAGCATTTATCAATCTGACTTTACCGATTATTACTTTCGAGTGACCAAGAGTGAACACATGACTGAACTCAAGTCCAAGTTGAATCGCATATGTAAGCTTATCTATGATTATTATCTATAAATTCATCCAGCATATCCATATTTATCCTCTCATTCTGTGTGCATGTACAAATTTTACTTTTATTTGATTGTTCGTAACCCAAAAGTGCCCTGCCATGCCTTCATGCATCATATAAATACACGCCTGCTTTCATGCAAATACGTTAAAAGCCGAAAGATTTATATACATATATAATAAGGAGTTTTCAAGTGAGAAATTTTTTAAAATAAAAAATGGAATTATTATTGATATTAATTAATATTTAGATTATATAAAAAAAATCTAAACAATTAAAATTAAAACTCAATTATAAGTACATCTTATGAGAAAATGCAATCATTTCAAACTATTATTATCATCATCATTTTACTATTGTTACATGTATGTTGTTGTGATTAAAAATGAGAATAAGTCAGTTATAATTATGAACTTGTGATGGTAATAGTTGTGAAGATTGTAATAGTAATAATTTCATAACAAATATTTTACAAGAGTTTTATTCTCAAATATAAATTAATTTTTATCATAATCTAAAAATCATTACCAATATATTTTTTTTTTCATTTTAAAAAGTTTCTCTGCTAAAATCTCTCTATATATATATATGGTTTCTTGATTCACAATTATTATTTTTCATAATAAATATACATCAACATGCATAAGTGGTTACTAATGTCACTTGATTAAGAAATAATATAAGAAAAACTCAAGATAAAGAATGTTATTTGTTTTAATAAATTTGTCATTTTTCAATTAAAAGAAAAGGCTAAAAAGAACGATAAAAACAAATATGGATGTTTGAATTTATACGTAAATATTGTTTTCAAATATCAATATGTAAAAGTTATGTTTGATTTTTAAAATAAACCTTGGTATGGCTCTAATTTCTTGGTGTCTACAACAGGTGAGAAGTCGATGATAAAGAAACGTTACATACATCTCACTGAAGAAATGCTGAAAGAAAATCCAACCATAAGCACATACAAGGAGTCATCCTTAGATGTTCGCCAAGACATACTAGTGGAGGAGGTCCCTAAGCTTGGTGAGAAGGCAGCATCAAAAGCCATCAAGGAATGGGGCAGACCCAAATCAGATATCACTCATCTCATATTTTGCTCCACCTCGGGTGTAGACATGCCTGGTGCGGACTATCAACTTGTCAAGCTTTTAGGCCTCAATCCATCCACCAAAAGGTTCATGTTATACCATCAAGGTTGCTTTGCTGGTGGCACTGTCCTTCGTCTCGCTAAAGACCTTGCTGAGAACAATGTTGGAGCACGTATTCTCGTGGTATGTTCTGAGATCACAGTTGTCACATTTCGTGGGCCCTGTGAAACACACTTGGACTCATTGGTTGGACAAGCTCTCTTTGGTGATGGTGCTTCATCTGTGATCGTTGGATCCAACGCTGACATAACCATCGAACGACCACTATATCACCTTGTCTCAGCGTCAGAGACAATTCTACCCAATTCTGTGGGTGCAATTGAGGGACACTTGCGTGAGGTGGGACTCACCTTCCATCTTAAAGACAATGTTCCTCATTTGATTGGAGAGAACATAGAGAAAAGCCTTGAAGAAACTTTTCACCCTCTTGGGATCAGAGACTGGAACTCTTTGTTTTGGGTAACACACCCTGGTGGCCCTGCAATCTTGAAGCAAATAGAGGAAAAACTTGGGTTGAAGGCTGATAAACTGAGAGCAACTAAACAAGTTCTAAGTGAGTACGGGAACATGTCGAGTGCATGTGTCCTGTTTATATTGGATGAGATGAGAAGGTGGTCCATGAAGGAAGGGAAATCCACGACTGGTGAAGGACTGAAGTGGGGTGTTTTATATGGGTTTGGCCCTGGCTTAACAATGGAGACTATTGCTTTGCATAGTGCCACCATCGATCCAAGCCATTATTAGTTGCCATAATAGTATGAAGATATATATATTATTGGAAAATACAATATTTTAATATAATGAATAATTGGTCAATAGACTAAAGTATTAAAATACATAATTAAGTTGTTTATTGTTGTGTTTTATGTTTAAGATCAACGATGTTAAGGTCTAGTTTTCAGTAGTTATGTATAAAACATGTTTCTGAGCTTGTTGTTATAAACATTGTCCTTTTTTTTGTCTTTCAATAAGTTAGTGATCATTTGTTTCTAACATTTTGACTGAAATCGAACGCTAATTTAGAATCTTAAGAAATGGCAAAATATAATCGTATTATAAAGATCTTAAATAGATAATTAGTAACAACGCTTAAGATCTACCAAATTTGGTTTTATTTCAACTTTAGTAGCAACAATTTAAGTAAGGAAATATTTTTTAACAGTTAACTTGATTGATTGTTCCGAATCGATTAAGCTCTAGACAAGGTGGCAATCAACCAAGCATATGAAGCATCCAGTTGTTGCCAATTAGTCTCTTTGTTCTCTAAACTCGAGACTTGGGGTTATGTACCCATATTGGTCCATAGCTGATCTATCATCCTTTTTTGGCTAGATCGATTGACCATCTCACGGTGAGGTTACTAAGTAAGTGTATGATAAACAACGACGTGATAATATTGCAAGTTGGACTTAATTTTCAAATCATAAAGCTTTTTCATCTTTTAGACTTGAGACTGGGAGGTTGTGTACCTTTATAGGCCTAGGACTAATTGATCGCAATATGTTATTCAAAGCCTACCATTTAGTGTTAGGAAGGTAATCGACCAACGTGTCTTGCTAGTTACAATAATAGGTAAAGCATTGGATAAGAAAATATTGTACCCTCCTAGGTCCAAATGATCGATACACCTTCTAGGCCCAAGGCCAACCAACCCATTATAAATTCACATCTTATCAAGATTATGGGTTTGGTCCATGAGATTACAAGATAATATATTTACAATTAAGAATATCAATTTAAATAAATTAAAGATAAGTAAGATAATTTATACCCTAATAAACAACTTTATGAAAATATAAGATAATTAAGATAAATGATAAAGCGGATCCAAATTAATAGAATCGAAAGAGATAACCCTACTACTATATAAGGCTAAGATTAAGAAGAGAGTTTTTAGGTTTTACTCATAATCTCACTTTTATGCTATGGATAGGCCTACCCAAGGTTTTATATTGGAACAAGAATTAAGTTTGTTTATTAATGTAAATTATTAGGGTCATACCAAATTTTTTAAAAGATGAAGTTAAACTTATAAAAAAATAAAAATAAAATTAAAAATAAAAACTTATGATAGATAATATAAATTTAATTTTTAATTTTATAGAACAAGTCAGACATAAATATTTAAAGTTAAGAATTAAGTTTGTTTATTAATGTAAATTATTAGGGTCATACCAAATTTTTAAAAAGATGAAGTTAAACTTATAAAAAAATAAAAATAAAAATAAAAATAAAAACTTATGATAGATAATATAAATTTAATTTTTAATTTTATAGAACAAGTCAGACATAAATATTTAAAGTTTGACTTAATTTCACTTATTTTGGTCTTTATTTATATTTTTATATTTATATATTTTTTCCAAATATTTAGTTCAAATGGCATATATACCATATTCTATGGATGAAGCATTTCATAAGGAATGAGATTCATTTGTTACATAAAATATCAATGGTCGTCAAATTTTGTATTGCATGCTAGCTGATCACACAAATTATTTTGACTTTTCATACATATAATGAGAGCGAGTAAAATAGCTCTTGCACCTACTATTTTAATTAGCATTTATAGATATTTATGTTTGTTGCTTCACATCAAGATCATAACTACCACAAAAGTCGATTACTTTAATCTCTTTTGCATTTTTCTTCAACTATGAATACATTGTTTAATTACCGGTACGACTTTTAATTTCAAAAATGATGGTTTCATAATGAGCGCAAACAAATTTAAAGATGGGACAAAGGATTTGGTTGGTGAAACCTATAATATGTGAAGATTGACATGACGATGAAGTCAAGGAAGTCAAAGAGGTAACAAGTTTTCACTATTATAATTTTTCTTATTACATGTAACTTTTCATGCGAATTTTGTATAAAAATTTGTATAAAATGTTGTTCCTACAAATTTTTCTACAAAATTTTATCTCTAGATAATATCTTTATAAATAATATGTTTTTACAAATTTTAAAATTCGCAAAAAAATTTCCTGCAAAAAAAATTCACAAGAGAGTTTCCTGTGAAATTTCCTGTGAATTTTGTTTGCAAGAAATTTTAAAGAAAAATCTCTTACGAAAAAAATCAAAGAAATTACTATTCAGAGTTAATTTTTGTACAATTTCTATTATTAATTCTTCAACTTTTAAATGTTTACAATGAATTCATCTGAAGCATTAAGAAATTTGTTTTCACGCCTCTAACATATGATAGATAACCTTTTAAACTCTTAGATTGTAAATTATAGGTCTAACACTCAATCATACAAAATCAACTTGTAAGGTAACTATTGCTCCAACTTATATACTTTTTAATTGTTTTATTTCTAATCGATATGGGGCTTGAGAAAAAACTTCTAATTCTTAAACTTATATATATTATTTTTCTTGTGGATTGAAATTGGCAGGAAAATTTGCAATAAAAGTTACTTGCGAAATTTTTCTACTATTTAGTAAATATTACTTGCGAATTTATTTTTAATAACAAGAAAATTTGCAAGAAACAAGATAAAATTCTTACAATATTTTCTGCAAATTTTTACCATAGAAAAAAATTTCTATGATCATTAAAATTATAGCAAAATTTGCAAAAAAAAAAAAAAAAAGTATAGATTATTTTTCATTAAAAAAATTGTATGAAATTTCTGTAAATTATTTTTCGCAAATAAATTTGCAAAAAAAAAAATTTGTAAAATTAGTATTGCAAGAAAATTCACAAAAAAAATATGTGAATATTTTTTTTAGAAAAATTTGCAAGAAAATGACATTTTTCCAAATATGAGATACATGTTCCACCTTATCTGCGACCCTACTTGCCCATTTCGTGCCTTGACATCTTTGTTCTCACCCTGGTTTTGCACCTCCAATATCCTTATCTGCTCACAACTTTGAGTAACACTTAAAAAAAACTTATCCACTCTTCGTACTCCTCCTGCCCAAGAATCCAGCTTCAAGTCTCAAAATGATTTAAAACCCATTCTGCATAGGTTTTGATTTAAACCAATGTAAAATGAGTTTTCTCAATCAGTTATTATAGAATGGAGATAAAATAGTTGTTTCATTACAAAAATATTTCCTCTAGTTTTTCATCTATTGTTACACAATTTATATAAAAAGGAAAATATAAAATAGTGTTTTTACACTAGGGAATCATCACAACTACAAGTTTTCATGAGTTGATGTTACCTTGATTATTTTTCGGAAGGAACTTTAGTTTTATAAAATATATATTGACTCACTGTCATAAAACCTTGACAAAGGTTCATTAAATCTCTTTGAAGTTGCAAAATTATAGCTCCATTAGGTGTTGGATGTTAAAAAAAAATTATTGTTTATTTTTTACCTTCCATTGATTTATAAAAAATATTTGGTTGAATGGTATCTTCACAATTCCTGAAATATCTATTTTATATGATCAGTGAATATTAGAAGTTATGTGTAAGTGTACATAAAATAGTGTAACTTATAATTTAATGGATCCTTGATGGATAAAAGAATCACGACTCTGAAAGAATAATATATAGGTAGAACCATTGTAACCCTACATAAAAGGGTATGGTTTGAACCATTTGTAACTTCCTTTCATCATTCATGGCCTTAATCCTACGACTACTATGTTTTATTTCATTGGTTATCCAATTAATGGAAAGAGTATATATTTTATTGTCCTACTCAAGGAACAAAAATAATAGTCTATCAAATATGCAAGGTTCTTTGAAAATGATATTGGTGGTTTAATAAACCATGAAGATAGGGAAGGGAACCAAGTTCTAGTGGGGAGAAGATCATTGTACCAATCCCTATAACATCCCAGATTTCATAATTTATAATAATAATATTTTAGAAATTATTTTAATATTTTAATGTATTTATTAAAGGATTTTGATATTAATTAACTACTTATATGAGCATTATTTTATTATAAAGCATGATATGTAATTATTATTTTGATTGATGATATATCGATAAATTTTATGATTTTTATTTTATTAATAATTATGCTAATTTTATTTGATTAAAGAGAAGATGTGTATTTTCATTATATTATATTATATTAATTATTTTATGGAAAGGAAAGGAAGGACGTGATGGTCATTTGATTAATTATTATTATTATTATTATTACTATTATTATAATTATTATTATTATTATTATTATTATTTTAAGAAGGGAGTTATCAGGAGTTAAGAGAAATTACCTTACATTTCATTTCTCTTGACTTCTTCCTTATTCATTTCCTATTTCCTTTCTATTCTACACTCTAAAGACCATGGAGAACCAAGAGAGACCAACCAAATATTGTCCATGCTTCATCTTCTACTCATCCAAGTAAGGTAGAGTGAGAAACCTCACTCGGGGTGTGGGAATAATTGTTGGGTAGCAAGATTGACCTCCAATCCCTATGTGTGTCTATAGGAACAGACACTCTATGAAAGTTTTTTGTTTTTTTTTTCTGCTTATTTTGTTGCGTTCTTTGTGTAATTCTGAGTATGGATATGTGTTTAATTTCAATAATGGATATGTTTGGTAGCGGGATTGACTCCTGATGCATGCTTTTAGAAACAGACACTTTTCGAAATATTTTTTATTTTCATGTTTGAGTTTTCTATAATTATGTTCCTTGATGATTATTGAGCATGAATGTATGCTTAATTTTGAGTTTGGATAGGCTTTGATATGGATTAAAGTGCTTCATGGGTTCCTATAGGAACCCTATATGAGAAATAGACAAAATTCGAATGTTTTCTATTTTGATTTCTCAGTTTATTATTGTGTTCCTTGATGTTTGTTAAGTGTTAATGTGTTTAATTCCAAAAGTAGACAAGTTTTTATATGAATTAGAGTGCTCTGTGGGTTCCTGTGGGAAATCCTATGAAGTGAAATTAGGGATATGATCTTTGGATGAATTTTGAGGCATTATATATGAAGTGAAATTG